CACTGCTTTTATATGAATGCCTCTGTAGCAAAATGGTTAAACGTATTGCCTAGCTTTGCGTTAAGCGCGAGAGGTCCTAGGTTCGAATCCCAGGGAAACAAAAATTGTTTCGGTCGGGTTGGGCATAGAGTCTGATCAACTACTTGCCTGTTAAAGAACGGATCAGTGAAACGGACACAAAAATGTATTCGCCCCATGCCCCACGAGGGGAAAACGGGATTTATTGATTTCGAGATGAGAAATTCTCCGAACTAATTTAAGAGATGCAAATATGGCTTTAAAATGCGGAACTGGGCACTTCGCACCAATTGAACGCTGACTAAATTGTCCGTGACAACCCGCATCTTACACACCATCTTATAACAAGGAAGATATTTTTTGACCGGGATTCGAACAAAATTTAAATTAAATAAAACACTTAAACGGTTTAAAACGCGATATATTTTAGTTAAACTTGTTTAAAAATTATTTTTAACTACGGCCAGACGTGTCGGATGCTTTACAGCAGCCGTGGTGACGGGAAGACCGGGATTCCGAAACGTCGGGCCGTAGTTAAAATAGTTAAGAAAAATTGTAAATTAGTTCACTAATATATTTCGAGTTTTAAGCCGTTAAAAATAGTTATATTTAAACCTTGTAAAATTGACAATTTAATATTGATTATGACTCAAACTATACCCAAGTATACTTGTCACTTGTTACCTACGAAAATACAACATATTATATTTGTATATCTAATCCAATTTCTAACAACTCTAGCCACAATAAGCTATATTAAATTGACGATGTCCCAGCAATTGTGTATTAACAAGACGTCATTGTACATTCATTTATCATTTTACAATGGACCTAGATACACACAACACTAGATGTGACATACGGTTTGAACCTTGAAGTGTTTTGGCGAGTCGAGTTGGTCTAATATTAGCAATGTATGGCTTATAATTAACGGGTTATAGATTCGATTTTCATCAGAACTAAGCGCGATTTATAATTATTCTGGAACACTTTGGACATCGTCTGGGAAGCTGGATATTAAACGGGATGGAATATGGTAATTCCGTCCGGGTCACGAACCAGCGTCCACAGATGAAAAAGTCGAGAACTATTTCGCGTTTCGCGGAGAACAGGCGCTTGCCTGTTCTCCTCTCTCAAAAGAAAACATCGTCTATTAGAATCATTATTTACATTTGTTTCTTAACACGTCGTATTACTCGTTAGTGTAAAATTATTTAAATATTACTTATAGTTGTTCCCGGGATTCGAACTTTACGTTACATAATACTAAGCAACGCATTTAACTACTGAGCCAAAGGGATAATGAAAATTGATGACCAATAAATATTTGGTCAAATTTTAATTTATTATTCGTTGTAGATACATTATATGTACGTTAATATAGTCTGAGAGACGTTTATACAGAGTTAAATAGTGTAAGTAATGTTTGTAGTTTACGCGAGTAGTACACATATTAATAATACAATTTAAACGGTTTAAAACACAACATAAATTAGTTAGAACCATGCTTGCTTTTAGTATACATTTTATAGTATAGTAAGACAACTATCGCCTTCTTGATTTATATTTTTGGTTAGCAAGGATTTACAATCGCTAAAGTAGAACTCTTTACTAATGACAGTCCTTTGTCCTGTACACGTTTCCGCTTCTGACAATGTTAACATTAAGAATGAAGTTCCCGTCGCATTTAAAACAATGATCTAGAATTTAAAACAAATAAACGAGCAAGTGTAATGAAAGGGTGGGTCTTGGAGTAATATCACGGGGAGGGGCTGGGCCCAATCGATAAGCACCCCTGTTGGGCCTATTGCACCCCTGACACTACGGCGTTGCAACTCAAAGGAATTGCAACCCTGTGCCGCCCGGGATAAACTGGGTCGGACGATGTTTCGTATGACGTGGTAATTTTTGACAAGAATCCTAATGCGATTTTAGAATATAACATTGTGTTACAAAGGATAAGAATCTATTTAACTACTTTCATAGATTTACGCAATATATTTTTACTAAAAATGTGTTTTACTTCTTCAAGTGGTGGCTTATATACATATACAAATTTATACAGTAATATCAAACAATACTTAATAATAAATAGATTACAATTAGCACCAAGAAAAATACTAACTTTAATTACAATTTATACTAGTTAAACTTATTTTCACATCATTTTGTCTAATTTATTTCGCGTTTTAAACCGTTAAAGTGTTTTATTTAAATGAGTAAAATTCTCGTAAACCACAGACAGTATTTTTGAAATATTAACACACAAATACTTTGCTGTGGACGGACATAACTCAGCTGTTATAGCAACGGAAGGGCTGCTAAATGTCCTGGGTTCAAAACTTGGGCAAAGACATATTAAATTTAACCGTGAAACTTGTATTATAATATTATTGTAATGTAATGTTGTCTATGTTTAAAATAGCTACCTAAAAGGCAATTCGTTTTTTTTGTCTATTTTCGTTGACAAATAATAAAAGCTTTCGTTATTACAACGTTCAAAATATCAAATTGATTTTAAGCTCAGTTAAAACACCCTCGAAATAACAAATAACAGAAAAATCCGTGAAAGAGATCGAGAATTAATAGGTATTTTAACTAAAAGCCTCAACGTAAACAAATCCGAGTTTATCTATTGTCGCGTGGGTTCTGATTGATTGCGTTTTGCTACTAATCAATTACTGATAACAATTCTACTGCGTGCGATAACATTATTTATGTAGTATAATTTGCTTGAATCATGCGCTGAAAATCTACTAAGGTTTCTTTCAGACTAATATCATACAATATATGGTTAATGAAACGTGTAATGTTATCTTTTGGCCAGATACCATTATGTGTCCGTGTCAACAATAGATTTTTTAATTAATAAATATACCAGTAAATAAAATTAATATTTTATTTACTGGTATATCGTTGATCAGCAATGTTATCTTGTTTTTACAAGGAAATAGGGCAGAAACAGTTACGTGTCCGTCTAAATGATACATTTTATTTACTATTAAGTCGTTGGTAAGCAAAGTTATCTTCTATGTAAGACATTGTGCAGATACAATTCTGTATCCGTCTCAACGATAGATTTTTATACTGGTATATCGTTTATCAGCCTTCTATACCGATACCAATAGATCTTATTTACTCGAGTTTTCGAGCTGTCGTAATGACGATTTGTTTTTGATGTTTCGTATTGGTGATGATCGATCATCATCATAATTAAGTGAAGACTAACAAGTTAGTCAATGTCAAACTAGCTTTGCAAAGCCTTACTAGTCTGTTTTCTAAGGATTAGAACCGAGTTCTAGGTAATGCGTTGAACCTAACCTATTGTATGTCTTAGTTGACACCTAAAAATAAACTTCAACAAATCTTTTTTTTTATGAAAGAAGAGGATAGACAAGCATGGGGGTTCACTTGATGGTAGCGTTTATAGCATCTAAACATTATGCTGTCGATCTATTTTGACTTCGGATATTCGGAAATCTACAGACTGAAACCGAAACGCGATAAAGCTGCACGGCTCTTTCATCTATGGACCGTGGTCGTGATGCGAACAGAATTTCTATTTTCCTACCACCCATTAGATATCCAGATTTCCAGACGAAATCCAACATGTTTGAAATTATAAATTAAAAAGACGTTGGACCCGGTGGGGATCAATCCCACGACCCGTTGATTGTTAGCCATACTTGCTATCATTAGACCAACAAGCCCTTCCAAAACCAATCAAAATGTTTCTGCCAATAAAAGAGAATATAAAATTATCTCGTCGAGAATCTTATTTTACGCCTGCTGTAAAGTCAGAAGTAAAATTGGTGTGCGGAAATAAGTCTAGACTTTTAGGAAATCAGTTTTCCGCTAACATCAATTTTGAATTCGCGTCGATATAATAAAAACGCTCGAATGACATTCGTGTTACATTTTCTTGTACGTAATTTAGTTTGTGGTGGTTGGTGCATTGGGTTGCGTATCACGACGTCCAAGGACCGGATCCTGGGTCACGCGAAATATTAAGGCTCGCCAAAGGGCCAAATGTCTCCTGGTAGCAATCTAATGGTAAAATAAATTGGTCGGTTTGATGATTAGTGGACTTCGTCTGGGAATCTGAATATTAAACTGGTGGTAGGAATTTCGAAATTTGCATTATTATTTATTATTTTTGTTAAAAATATGTTGTAGATATATATGCTCTTGTAGATTAACATTTTGGACTATAAAAAAAAATAACTCAAGTCATAAACTCGCGGTTAGACTACTCTGTCTCTAGCGGCCTCATATATGTGCGGTGAATAGCAAGATTTAGAATTCCATCACTTATAAAACGGCATTATTTAGTCAAGAGAACCAGTTTATGCAGTAGCGTAGCATCCAGAAATGCAGAGGTCACAATAGGTATTGTGTGGTTCTAGCTTATCTCATATTCACTCGGACACAGTTGTTCCGGACTGATAATTCTCATACACTTAACTGTCTACGTTCTCGAGTGTGATAAATACGTTTATCATAGTATTATCAATCTTATTGCGTTATATTTGTGAAAGAACGAATATTTTTTTTATTTTTCTGTGATTGTTTGTTCTTGTGATCTTGATTTATAACTAATGATAAAAAATCATATAGTAATCAATTTTGGAAAAACGTCTATAATAGTAAGCACTATACTCCTAGATATAATAGTCAACTTTATATTTTAAAGATAAACACAACGTATACATGTGGCATTCTTGCTAAATAATTTTCCTTACATTTTGATTATTTTTTTTTGGTGTTGTAAAATTACATGTAATTAAAATAATTAAATGTTGTTTATTTATCTCTTAAGTCATTCACACGTCTGAATACCTCTTGGTACAGATAAAACAAGCTGATATGCGTGTGAAGTTAACTTATTACATGGAGATCGATGGAGTTGTAATCTGAAATGATAAGGAATACTAAATAGTTGACAGTATACAGATAGTACAGATAACGGATCGCAGTGTAATATGTGTGCTAGGAAAGTGTCTCGCGTCCACCACGATCTTAATGATATAATAAAAAAGGTAGCCGAAGTTAAGGAAATTACAGACATTGAGTATAATGTTATTTTCGGATTTGATGACGTCGACTCCTTCGCTTCTGGCATTCATAATGTCGTAATAAACGGAAAAATAAACGGTATTAAAGTTAAATACAAAGTCGTTTTAAAGTGGCACCACAGCGCTGTGGACCGAACGTGTTTCAGAGATGCTTATAGACGAGAATTCGTGTTTTATAACTGCGTTACGCCGCTCCTTCTGGAAATTCAAAGGAAATCGATTTTAAATGAGGGACTGAAATTTAAGTTTCCTAATTGTGTTCTATCGTCCATGGAGTTCGATAAGGAGGTGATTGTTCTCCATCACTTGAAGGACTATAAAACATACAACAGATTTCACAAAATGGATCTACACCATGTATCATTAATCATTAAGAATTTAGCTAAATTACACGCGTTATCATTTGCAGCAGCAGGGATTAATCCAGATGAATTCGATAGAATCAAAGATAGTCTTAATAGAGATGTGCAATATTCGGATACAAAGAAGATACCGAAATCGTTGGTTTATTATTTCAACGCCTCCCTCTGCGTCGTCGCAGACGAGGAGTATAAGGATAAATTGAGAAATATCTCTCGACATATAGCCTTTATTCTTAATAAATTATCAGCCCCCATCTCACCGTACAGTGTCCTTTGTCACGCGGATTGCTGGCACAATAACGTGTTATTCAAATATCACGTACTAAAGCACTAATAATTTCGCAGGATTTCAACACAGTTGGACCAAGTTGAATTAACTGTTATAAAGTTCTTGATTAATTTCAGGGAGACAGACCGGTGGAAGCTATCTTCATAGATTACCAATTAGCTCGCTTTGCGTCACCAGTTACAGATCTCTCATACTTCTTCTACATGTGCACAGACTACGAATTTCTTTCGAAGAACTACGACCAACTTCTGGATATTTATTATGCGACTTGCGCGGCTGTGCTCCGCGAATGTTACATTAATATAGATAGTGTATATCCTAGACAAATATTTGTGGATGAATTAAGGTATTATTCGCTATTTGGATTAGTGGAGGCTTTGATTTCTATGAAGATAATAACAGCGGATGCAGTGGAAGCTCAGAAAATGACAGAAATGAAAAATCAACTGGCTGAGGTGAATGTAGATGACTATGAGATACAACATCAAGATGTGTTCGTGGAGAGAGTGAATGGAATTGTGAATTTCTTTTTTGAAAAGAATTACTCGTTGAATTGCGGTGTCTGTGAATAAGCTGTTATAATCTTGTTGGATTTTTATTTTCATTTGTCTGTATCGTTAAATTTACTTTTACTCTTGTTAAATCCTGGGATAAAAAGCATTTAAAGTCCAGATTCTTTATATAGGGATAATTAACATCCTAGTAGGTGGTTTACTGTGCTTTTCCGGACCGTATCTATTAATCAAGTCTCCCCATCTGGCCTTGCATGTGCGCCTTAAAAAATGAATACGGATTACGAAATACGAAATGTTCTCTCATTGCCTTAAGTTGTAGATACATAGTTTTACAAATATTAAGATGTCTATTTAGGAATAGTGTATTTGTTACTATGGCGCTCAGATTTGCTTTCACTTAAAGAGGTATATGATATTTATGTTCGATGGGACACCAAACTGAGACCGATCGTTCTTAACGCAATATTAAGCAAATTTTTAACGTTACAAACAGTGGTAGCATTTCATATAGCTCTTAAAAATATATTATATGTACAATATTTTATAAGAAAAAATAAATCACAATCGCGTAGTCCATAAAAAGGAACAACTGACGGATTGTGAAGCGGAATAAATAACCAAACGCGGTCGTTAATTGTCGCAATAAAAGATTTTCTCCAAATCCAAGATGGAATGCTCAGAAATTGTAATACGGCTGTATGGGTAGACAATATTTAACATTCTTCGCTATAGAAATTCGGGGCCATTATTCACTGGATTTCTGTCAAATTGTACCGTCGGTAATAATTGTGTTTCGTGTTTCGTAACGGCTTCTTTGTTCGGAATCTTAAACGTGCGAACCGTATTTAAATTTGGAACTTGGATAAGCAAAAAGTTTTTAAGCTTTCCACAGACATCAATCACTTATTGAAAAAGTAGGTCACAGTTTTATATAGTAGTATACACACACAGTAGAATATTTAGTGCACATAAATGCACAAATCAAATCTCTGGGTTGTTACTAGTTGAAAGGACTGGTAGTCAAAAGTATTGTTTTTTTTTAAATGATAGAGTAGTACAGACAATGACAATGTGGCATGTGGTTCACTTGATGGTATATCACCACCCCAGCCTCTAAACAAGATGGGATGTCGACTTTTTTTGACCCTGGATATTCGGAATTCCATCGACTGAAACGCGATTAAGCTTCACGGATTTTTTATCTGTGGACGGTGGTTGGTTACTCGGACGAAATCCAGATTTCCAAACGAATTTCAACATGTTTCAGAAAAATTTGAAACCTGGTGGGGAACAAACCCACGACCCGTCGATCATTAGCCATACATTGCTACCATTAGACCAACGAGCCAATTATTGTAACGAGTTGTCTACGAGAATAATTTCTTGCATTACATTAGGTGGATTAGGAAGTAGATACTAGTAGTAGAATAGATTTTTTCGCAAAATTTGCTAATGTAAAAAATCACTGTCCAAACAAAAGTAATAAGTAATGTAAATTCGCGTTTCGGTATCTACCTATGGACGTCTTAATGTCGATAGCCGCAATACGGGACTATACATCTAACATATTTATACTGTGCATGATTGTTTAGGCTGTTTCTCGCTTCCTCGGGCCATTAATAAATAAATAGTGAATTTTCCCGCAGTGTCAATATCGGCATGTTACGCCAGCGGCTATGTACTAAATAAACCAGGTACAAACAATACAATTGTTCCGTTGAGAACATTTCTTGTTATTGGAAAGTTCTCTAGTTGATTCTTTATTGGTTATCGATTTTTTTATTTGCCGAGTTATGGACTACTGTGTACTGAATACTGTCTATAGTTTAGTCAAGTAGTACACATTTAAATAAAACACTTTAACGGTTTAAAACGCGATGTATTAGTTAAACTTATTTGAAAATGATTTTTAACTTCGGCCCGACGTTTCGGATGCTTTGCAGCAGCCGTGGTCACAGGGAGACCCCGTGACCAAGTAAAAAGTCAAATAAGTTTAACTAATATATCACGTTTTAAACCGATAAAGTGTTTTATTGAAATATTATATAGTAGTAATTGATCACAAAATACACAGTCTACCCTGAAGAAACTGATTTGAAACAACACAATAGGTACATGACCATTAAAATAAGATTGACTAATATATTTCGCGTCTCAATCTGCTAAAATTACAGACAGTATTTTAATAACTACTTTACTATAATATACACACACGTCTTCAATCATTTCAAAGCTTAGCAAAGTAAAACACAATCTCTAAGTATTTAATTATTCACAAAATATTCTCTTCAAGCGGTGTTGACTTTCAAAAGGTCATTGAGGCATTTGTATAGTCTTAGGTAACGATCGATCAAGATTTCGTAATACGAGCTACGAAATTAACCGAGCGTGAAACCACAGTGCCTGTTCAGCGCAAGGTGATACTCTGTGTTTAACATAAATACACACTTTATCAGGATTTTTACTCTGCTTTAATCTCATTAAAAAATTCTTTAACGGTCTACCGTGGTTCATCCGAGACGTCGAGCCGTAGTTAAAAGTATCTCCAATAAGTTTAACCAATATATATCGCGTTTTAAACCGTTAAATTGTTTTATTTAAAAGCGTACTACTCAGGTAAACTACAAACACAATTTCAATCTGTTTTTAAAGGCAGTTAAACTAGCAACAGTTGAAACGGCTGATCGAAATTACGTTATCAACTTGCAAAAAATTATAAGTTAACGTATTCAACGTAGTAAAATACAGGTTTAAATTAGTTTTAAATAGTATGAATATATTCGTATAAACTGCAGATACATCCATCTAAGTCTCCGCATTGTTTAATATAAGTAATACCATTGTTGACTAGTTCAATTTAAAGTATACACAATCAGTCAACTCGTAATTAAATTTTTGCTTGTATTTATGAGAAACCTATCAACTACTAATAACGCTCTAAATTTGTTTTTATTCATTTATTTCAGAATACAAAATAAAAATTATGAACTAAACATTTTCCTTCTACGTGATTCTTAAATGTAATTTAATTTTCTTATAAAAACGTTGTATTTGACATTATATTTTCTTAATAAACAGCGGGTAAGGTAAAAATATAGAAACTGCAATACATTTATATCTTAAACTCGGTTTAAACTTAAACGTAAATCTAAAATCTACTTTTGAATCCCTAACCGTATCGCTGATTTGAGGGTAGTTCTAAAAGATGTAACTCACGTATTATCCAGCAACCCTCATGAAAATCATTAGCAGGTGATGATGGCTATAGTTGTAGGGTTAAGTGTGACGCTTGAAGTTAACCCTTTTAGACGCGGGACAAAAGGCGTCATAAAGACGGTCGTGTTTTGTTATTCCGCTAAGCGACTTAATGCCCCTAACATTTTGTACTTAATTGTTTTTGACGCTTCTAATTAAAAACTAGCGCATTTTCTGGTTAAAGAATTGAGGTTAAGTTTGTACTGGAGTATAATTGCAGACTTCTGTACCATAATGAAACACATTGCTTGCTTTTGTACCTTGCGCGGGATGTCTTAATATCCTAATCCAGGAACCAAAATAAATAGGACAAAGTGTGTTAAGTCAAGTAGGACAAAAAATTCAGGCTTTATCTTAAGACTAAGAGAAAAGTAAGAGCAAAAAAGAAAGAATTTTAATTCAGAGTTCAGATATTATCGTGATTTTAATAAATGATACTGATACAAAAAACAATCTTGTGTATCATTATTCAAATTGTTTTATCACAATTACGTACATAATATAATAGAACATTAAATAATAAGATGAGAAAGGCAAGTATTATAAAATACACTAAAACACAGGCTTATAAAGTTATTGAAAGACAAAAAATAAAGACTAAAAAAAATATTACAAAGACACTGAAAGAAAAAAAATATTGCAATCTGAAAATATAAAATATTATATACAACATTTAAAAGGAAATATATATCAACTACAAATCATTGTGATGTCTTTAAAAGTATTACTTATAATTTAAACAAAACACTTAACGGTTCAGAACGCGAAATATATTATCCTCGCAGATTACTATAAATCTCCATAAAAGAATTAATAAAATGCTAATGCACTTCTTCAAGTCTTTAATGTCCGCACTCTATATCATTTTCCGTCGCTCTATCCCGAAATTGGGAAATATATCGGCCATTGTAAGGAAGAGGAAATATAAATGGATAAACTGGGGGCGGAGTGGCTAAAATGGATGTAGAAGGTGGAATATCCTACGGCGGTGTCGTCCCGGGTCGAATCTAATTTTTCCCCGGCTAATGTCTGCTCGCCTCGTGTATGGTTGAGTGGGCGTCAAACTTGTTACATTCGCATTCATTCGAGTAACCATTGTTTTGGATTTGAATTTTCTTTTATGAAGATGAGGACAGACAAGCAGGGCGCTCACTTGGGGGAAGATGAAATAACCCAGACGTATAACATATAAACAAGATGCCCTGTCGATTTTGGGCTTTGGATATTCGGAAGTCCACAGGCTGAAATCGAAACGCGATTAAACTTCACTTCACTTCATCTGTGGACGGCGGTCTGTGACGCGGACGGAAATTCGATGTTTAATATTCAGATTTCTTGGCGAAGTCCAGCGTCTTTAAAAAATATATAAATTGATTAAAACGATGCTGTTATTACCATATATTTCTACCGTCATAGTAACAAGCTCGTCAAAATTGTTGTACTAGAATCGAAATATACAATTCTTCATTCAATACCTTTATTTAATAAGCGTTATTATAAATAACTTAAGTAAAATATTTTTCATCATCTTTTTATGTTATTACTTATTAAATGGTACACATTTTAGTATGTTACGGCGCCATCTTTATTTACCATTATAAAATTCAACAGTTTGTTCAAAACACTAATCTCAGGAACTACTGGTTCGAGCATAATATAAATGTGAACAAAACGGGGGAAATTTTTCATCTCTGTAGGTTTCAGATGCGTACGCTGCGAAAACGGTTTAAGATATCTAAAAATAGTGTATGAAAGAATGATTCCCCTTTAAATTATATAAAATAGTCCGCAACGCTATATAT